GGGAGGGGTGTGGGCAAAGGAAAAAGGGGGGGGGGGGGGCGAGGGGGAAGCGGAAAAACCACCTCAACAGACATAGACCAACGTTGGGGCACTTTCAGGAAAAAATAACACTCAGCCATTTTTAGAGCAGTATTGGGGCTTTGCACAAACTTTTCTCTCTGGGAGACCTGCATCAGCACGCTGCCCCTCACCAGAACTTGCGGCAAAGCCCCCCCCCCCGAAGGTCCACCTGGAAGGAACGTAGCCACTTTTGGTCTCTTTCTAGGTGGGAAGTAGAAAAAAAGAGGGGGGGGAGTGGTCTTTGGACACTGAAGCCAACTCGGAAAGGAAATGGGTTGCTCTGTTCAAGGGTCAGAACAAGAGCTGGTCCGCCCAGCCAGCAAAGAGACGGCCAAGCCTCAGCCTGGCTCTCTTGAGCCACGCCTGCCCTTCGGAGAGCTGGGCTCTAGGGCCCCCGGAAAGAGCCCGCCAGGGTGCCTAGACAGGGGGTGCCGGGTCTGGACTTTAGAGCAGTATTGGGGCTTTGCACAAACGTTTCTCTCTGGGAGACCTGCATCAGCACACTGCCCCTCACCAGAACCTGTAGCAAAGCTCCCCCCCCCAGAAGGTCCACCTGGAAGGAACGTAGAAAGAGAGAGCTGGGCTCTAGGGCGCCCGGAAAGAGCCCGCCAGGGTGCCAAGACAGGGGGTGCCGGGTCTGGAGCTGTGAGCTTTGCAGGCCTGCATTTCTAGGGGTCAGGCTCAGAAGACATGGGACTCCCTGAGCCCTCTCCCGGTCCTTCGAGCCCCCAGTCCTGATGGGTGGCGTCTTCTTGTCTTCCCCTTTTACAAACAAACAAACACACACACACACAAACACACACACACACACACACACACACGGTCTTGAGGCTTGACGGTGAGAAGCTGACCACCAGCCCCCCCTCCCCCTCCTCCTGCTCCCCCGTTAGGGTTTCCTGGGTGTCCAGGACTTTGAGCGCCGTCCCCACTTGAGAGCAAATGTAGATCGCGGGCTCCCTGCTCAGTGTGCAGAATGGCTGCCCAGGTAACACAACAGAACCCCCCCCCCATGCAGAGAGGCACCAAAGAGGACGCAAGATGCCACCCAGGTAAGCAAAGCGGCTGCCGCCCCACAGGCCCAGGGGTCGGACCCAGGACTAGCCCAGCTGCTCCCAGGGCCCTTCCCGGCAGCTCTGGAGGGTCACTTCGGAAATGCTGAGCCAGCCGCCTGCCCGGCCTGCCACCAGCCCAGTTGCCAGCCGCCCTCCGCGCCAAGAACCGAGAGAGAAGAAAGGGGGGGGGGCTTACCTTCCAGTCTGTGTCCACGGCAGACAAGAAGGTGTCCGAATTCTCCTGGAAGGGAAACAGGCCAAATCAAACCACCCGTTCGCTCCGGGAGGCTCCAACATGCCGTTACCCTTTTTTTCTCTCTTCTTGGCTTGCACGAGACCAGGAGATGGGCCCGTATCTGAAGGGGGGGCAGCTTCACCCTCTATTGCAGGTAATCTCCTCCCCACCCACTCCCCTTAAACAATGTAGGAAGCTGAAACCCAGGGAGGCCTGTTGTCCGCAGGGCCCAAGAGCGAGGCACTCAGCGCCACCGGCCGCGAAGGCTACTCACCAACTCGGTGTCCTGCCCCCGAAGCAAAGGCTTCTCTTCCGTGAATCGCTGCTCGTGCAGGCCGGCCATGGTGACTTCACCCAGCAACAATCCTGCCCAGGAAGGAGGCGAGAGCAGGGATCAGCAGCCCGGCCCCACACCTGGCCTGAGAGCCACACTCCCCCCCCCCCGGTCAGCAATGGGAGCCAACGCGGGACTGAGGGTTGCTTCCAGGCAGCCTTGGTTGGCCCTCCTCTCTTACCCCTGCCCCACGCACTGGGTCCCCCTTCTGCCAGCCCTGGAAGGCAGGCCAAGGAAAGGGAGGGAGGGAGGGAGGGAGGGAAGGAAGGAAAAGAAAAAGGAAGGGCTGGCTCCCTGAAACAACCAGAAAAGGAGCATCCACCCAGGCACACACACACACACACACACACACATACCCGCAGGCTGAGCACATCTCATGGGAAGCCCTCTCCCAGAGATCCTGGCTGGCTAAAGATGCCTGCAAGTTGGGGCTCCCCATTTATTTCTTTAAAATAGATTTCTACTCCTCTTTTCTCCTTCAAAAAGACCCAAGGAAGCTGTCATCATTAAAAAACAATATTTAAAGCTAACAACCCCGAGTATTCAAATACGTGCTGAAAAGGACCCAACAAATGCCACCCTAAAAGGCAGTAAACCGAAGCAACACCAGAACCACATTCAAAGCAACATCCATTTAAAGCTTCCACTCAGGCAGCTGGTCATTCAGAGAAAGCCTGCCTGAAGGGAAAGGTCCTGGCCTGCTTGCTGAAGACCAGCAAAGGTGGGGGCCAGCCTAGCTTTCCCGGGGAAGGGAGTTCCAGAGTCTGGGAGCAGCCACAGAGAAATCCTCCTCCCAACAAACCCACATTTCCAAGAAGGGGCTGCCCCACGCCAGCTCCCCCAGATTCCGCGTCATCCCACGCTCACTCCCTTGGGTCTGGGACTCCAAGGTGGTGCAGAATTCTTGGCACCGTTGCCGAGCCCTCTGAAGGTGGGAGCCAGATGCCCCTCAAGGGGGAGCATGGCTGGGAGGCCGGTTAAGGGGGGCCCTAGGGGCCCCCTTTCTCCATTGGACATCGGTGGCTCACCAAACGGGGATGACCCTCCTCTCAGAGGATGCCGAGGTCCTGAGACTTCACCACCATCACCCCCACCCCAGAACATCGGAAAGGGGGCCTGACTCCACGTGGGAATCAACCAGTCTGGAAGGTGGAGGCAGGGATGCAGAGGTGGGACCCCCAGGATCCTGGGGTGGGGTGGGGGAACCAGCTTGGGTGCCTGGCTCAAAGCAGAGATCTGGGGCCATAACTGGGGAAGGCGGCCCAGAAGAAAACTCTGAAGGAGGGGGTGGGAGGAAGAAGGCCGGACCTCCCACGAGGCCACATGGAGCGCCTGCCTCAGGCAGCAGCTTCTGGGCATCATGAACAGTTAGGGAGCTGCTCCTCATCGATTTATGATTGCTCTATATTGGCTGCCAGGGAGGAAAAGAGGTCCCTGCCGTTTTCTGCGTCAGGAGCTAAAGCACCTTTGCTGGCCTTGAGTGCTGCTTCCCGTGTTGAGTTGGGGGTGTGGGTGTGGGTGTGACGGGACTGCTCCACCTCCTTTTCTCAAGGCAGTGGCGCACAATCCACCTGAAATCAAAGAACTCCAGCGAATGGTGTGAGAAAGCACAAGTGGTGGGGGTTGGCCCAGTCCTTGCTCCCAGGGCGAGAGGCTTTGCTTCCTCTGTCCATCGCCAGGGGAATCCAGGCCCCTGGCCGTCCTGCTCTGCTCTGCTGCATTGAAAGCCTCCGCCAAGCAACCACATGGAGGGAGGGTGCTCCGGCCAGCCCAGGGCCCCCGCTTCGCAGATCAGACGATATCTTTGGGGGGAGGGAGTGGGGGGAGGCTGAGAAGAAGCCTTCCTGGACAGGAAGGAAGGAAGGGAGGAAGGAAGGGAGGAAGGAAGGGAGGAAGGAAGGAAGGCAGGAAGGAAGGCAGGAAGGCAGGAAGGCAGGAAGGCAGGAAGGCAGGAAGGAAGGAAGGAAGGAAGGAAGGAAGGATTGTCGGTTTGTATAACAAGGGCTTAAGCCCTACCCTCCTTATATCTCTTGCCCTCAAATTGTCTCATGAATCTCTTAAGCCCTGTCATTGGCAGCAGTACCTAGCACTGTTAACCGAAGCTATCTTCACATGAAGTAAGATACTATCCTTCCAGAAGTAACACACTGGCCAGAATCTTATTTGTTGGCCTAGGACTGAGCAGGCCCAGGCCACATAAAACACAATCACATGTAACACCCTGACCCACTTTTGGAAGGAAGGAAGGAAGGAAGGAAGGAAGGAAGGAAGGAAGGAAGGAATCGTGAAACAAGGAAGGCCACCAGCGCTTGCCTCTGACCCACACCCAGGCCAGAAGCCTGCATAAAGTGGGTTAAGATCACCCTTCAGAAACGCCTGGAAATCCTCTGTGGCTTTCCCAAGAAAAGGAAACAGGTGTGGGGTAATGAAAACCCTCTTCACACATAATCACTGCTCCTTCCACACTTGACAGAGGATCAGAGGCATTTTTGCTCACCCACTCGCCTGCTCGCTTGCTTGCTTTCTATATGCATCGCTAGAAGCTGTTTTCACACGGCTTTTGCCAGCCCAGAAGGAAGCAGGGATCCTGACAAGGTGTGACAGCCTTCGCAGCACCCCCCTCCCTCGGCGTCAGCCTTACCAGAGGGAGCCGGGGCACAGATATCCAAAGCAATGGGGATGGCCTGGTGGGGGGTGTCGCCTCCGGTGCAGACTCCACTGAAATTGTGCTGTTTTATCCAGGGGGTTAACCTGGACTGCCAGAAAGGCAAACAAGTGGGTCTGAGATCAAGTCAAGCCTGAACTATCTCTAGAGGGGGGGAAATGACGAAACGGAGGGCTGTCCTACTTTGGGCACATTACATGAAGGCAGGATTCTCTGGGAAAGACCCTCATGCAGATGGGAGAGGCAGAAGGCAGGAGGAAAAGAGGAAGACCCAAGAGGAGATGGACTGACTCCCTCAAGGAAGCCACAGGCTTGAGTTTGCAAGAGCTGAGCAGGGCTGTTGAGGAGGGGAGATTTTGGAGAGGGCTCACTCATAGGGTTGCCAGAAGTCAGAGGTGACTTGACCGCAGGTAACAACAATTTTGGGGTGGAGGACTTAAAAATAATGGACAAAAAGTCACAGCAAGGGAATGATTCGCGTTGCTGGAAAGCGCTAAACATCCCCTTAAAATGCGAATGGATCCCCCTCTCGGGTCAAGTCAGAAGACATTTCCACAGCCCTTCTGTGGCCTTCCCACCGCCAGCAACTTCCATCATGGCAGGACGAGAGAA